AGAGAGTAACAAGCTCAACAAAGAAGGAGGAGAGATTAGGAAGATGGACGTTTCATAAGAAAGAAGAAGCAAAGCAAACCACACTAGAGCACCCACCAACCATCCTTTTTTAAAACTCTGAGAGAAAGAAGAAAAGAGATCACACACTCACAAACATGTTTCACACATAAACAGGCTACACACCATTGCGATGGGCCACAAACAATCTACACACAAAAACAATCTACACACCATTGCAATGTGCCACAAACAATCTACACACACAAACAATCTACACACACAAACAATCTACACACCATTGCAATGTGCCACAAACAATCTACACACCATTGCAATGTGCCACAAACAATCTACACACCATTGCAATGTGCCACAAACAATCTACACACCATTGCGATGGGCCACAAATAATCTACACACACAAACAATCTACACACACAAACAATCTACATCCACAAACCCACAAACAATCTACACACCATTGCGATGGGCCACAAACTCAGCTAGCAGGGTGCTCCGTGACGCGTTCCAGAAGCGAACCCACCCGTTGCCGCCACACGACACCAGATTTGCCCCGCCACTCGCGCTGTTGCCTCTACGGTTCTCCAGGAAGATCAGACGAGCCACTGCCCAGCCAAACTCATTCTGAGGAATAAAATAAATCAATAAACAATAAATGAATAAATAGATAAACTACATTTTATTGATCCATGAAGGGAAATTTGGGTTACAATGGCAGATATACATGCGTAAATACATAATAATAAATACATACATACATAAATGTATACATAAATACAAACATATATATACATACATAAATTCATACTTAAAAATACAATATTACACCAATAAAGGACAATTTCACAAACATCCATCAACACACACACACACACACACATAAACACACACACACACACACTAAGACTGACACACAAACACACACACACACCCACACTAACACACACACACACACACACACAAACACCCACAATAACACACACACACAAGCACACACACAAATATATCTTACCGCTTCTTCCCCACTCCCCTGGCTCTGGCTGATACGATTGGCCGACCTCCGACCCCTGATTGACCCTGACTTTGAACTCGAGGATCCTGTCCTCTCCCCATGGATGTCCGGTAACTTTGTGCTCAGGCCGCCCAGGATGGACTTCTCCGGCCCGTGAAAAGTCGGCTGAAACAACAAAATGTTTAGCTTTAGTCAGAGTTTTGTGTCACATGCAACACAATTAGGTCATATAAGTTCCGAAGACCAGACAAGAGCACAAGCCAACCACCCACTAAGAGTTTTACACCACTTGCAACACAATTAGGTCATATAAGTGCCGAAGATTAGAGGTGTTACAAGAGAGTAACAAACACAAAAAAGAAGGAGGGGAGATAGAGACGATAGATTTTTTTATAGGAATGAAGGAGCAAACCACACAACAGCACCCGCACCACCCATTTAGTTAGAGTTTTACGGCATCTGCAATACAATCAGGTCATAAGTGTTGAAAATTAGATCAGGTGATACTAGGAAGTGATATACATAGAAAAGGATACATAAAGAGGATTGATGTTTAATAAAAATTTCAAAAAGAAAGAACGTTTCAATACATAGAAACACACACACTCATACACATACACACATACACGCTTACACACATACAGACACACAAACACACACTCACACACGCACACACACACACACACAATGACATGCAAAAATACACACACACACACACATACACACACACACAATGACACTGAAAAACACACACAAACAGCTCCCACCCC